AATAGCATAAGTTGTGAAAACAGATGCATAATATTGCCTGGTAATTCACAATTAATAATCAAAGAAATGATCAAGAATAACCTCATTTGAATGGGGGGCGGGCGCTGCGGAGCCGCCACCCGGCTGGCGCGGGAGCCGCAGGAGCCGCAGGTCGCCGCCCCGTGGCTCCCGGGGCCGGAGCCTCCCCCAGCCGAGGCCGGACGGAGCGGGCACGGTCCGCCTCTGCTCGCAGGGACTCCGGTCTCCGTAGGCCGGGCTGCCCGACTGCGGATGGAGGGGACGGGGCGCATCTCCTCCGACCCGCTGCCCGGGGCCACGAGCCTCCCGGTCCCCACAGTCCCCTCCGCCTCCTCCAAACGCCCGAGGACTGCGCACCTCTATCCGCCGGGGAGGTGATGCGTGATGGACACGAGAATGCCCGGCCCCGCTGTGCGCCTAGGGTCTTGCCTTCGGAGCGTCCAGGGAGGATGGAAATAGAGGGTCTTAGGAAGCCCATTTACATCCCGGCTTCTAGGAGCCCTGGGGTTTGTTGCCAAAGCGGGTGGGAAGCCATCCACGAAGGAAATGTATTTAAACTTGCCTCTCTCTCTCTTTTTTTTTTTTTTTTTGGTCTGTGACACACCCTGATACCCAACCCCACCTACTCCACCGCAGCTCCCAAGGCACCAGGCAGACTCAAGTGGCTAGGATTCAGGAAAAGGCTTTTTTGAAAGACATTGTCTACATAAAGGCAGGACGAAAGCCTGATGCGGCCTGTTTCCCTTTCCCTTATCCTCTGTGTCTGGAGCTTCGAGTTCTGGAGCCTCAGAAACTCGGTCTCCTTTCCTCTTCTGTCACTCTCAAGTCGGCTTTGTAGGACTGGTGCTCCCAGCTCCACCCAGCGCCCCCACCATCTCTAGCACCACCATCAAGTTTGGGCACCATCTGCTTAATTTTGATAGTGCTTCTTGTTGCTGTTGTTTTAGTGGCGGTGGGCAGGTCGGGGATGCTTCCCAGTCTTTGAAGATAAATTCTAATCTCCTCCTCCCACCAAGGCAGGGCTCCATGGGTATGTGGCTATGCAGGGGCACTGGGCCCCCCGACCTCAGAAAGGCCCTGTTCCCTGTAATGCTCGGCCATGATGGTCTGCCGCCTGTCACTGTCAAGGAGTTTTTAATATTTTGTTTCATTTGGTAGTGGGCCAGGCAATTATGTAGCCAGTCTTGCTGCCCACTTCTCCACTTCCCTAGTCCTTCGCCTTACACAAGCCTGCGCGCGCGCACACACACGAAAACCATTAGGCATTTTCCTTTTGTATTTTGTTATATTTTATTTTGTCTTGTTCTACTTTGTTTGTTCGTCTATGTCTTGAGCTCAGTTTCTGACCCAGAACGGGTCACTCACTGCAAGGTGGTTTTCTCTTAGAGCCTCGTTCCAAGAGGAATGGAGCCTTCGGCTCCCCAGTAATAAAGCCTTGACCATCTCCAACAGCACTGTGCCACTCACTGCTCTAGAAGAGAATTGAATTGATTCTCTTTGGATTCGGTGGTGTGAGAAGGTCTACGTGTGTGTTCGCATTTTTCCTGCTTACTTATGAAGTTCTCTTCATCTGTGGTTAAGTATAATTTTTGTAATGTACCAGGTTCAGCTAAGCTAGGAGAATGGTGGGAATATGCTTGATAAAATGTCCTTCTGAATTTCTATGAAGTATTTTTATTGTCAGAAAATGTATTTCATTTTCTTTCCAAGTTAGAATAAAGTCAACATTCCCACAATTCCTTACTACCAGAAGAAAAAGTTTACTCGTCAATTACAAGGTACCTACAAAAGCTAATTTTGCTTGAGGTTCATGAGAGCTGAAAACATTCATGTTTTGTAGATACTGCAATGATATATTAAGGCCTTCTCTGTGCCAGGCACTGTACTGTCACCAGGTGTGCAGCAGTAAAGATAGACAATGTCTTTGTCATAACATCACATTAAAAAGGAAAACAAATAAGGTTGTTTCTGATAGTCATAATTGCAATGAATAAAAACAATGCAATAGTAACGAGAGTGTCTTGTGGAGAGGAGGGTGGAGAAAGGGGCCCTACTTTGAACAGGATATAGGGATGAGAGAAGGCTTCACTGAGTTTACATTTGAGCCAAACCTGGATAATAGAAAGGAGCCAGCCTGAAGAAGATCTGGGGGAATTACACTCGGCATAGGGAGCAGCGAGTGCAAAGAGCCTAACACAGGAATGTACTTGGCATTTTCAAGGCCCTGGAAAAGAGGGGCAAGTGTGTAACATGAAATCAGAGAGCTGGTAGTAGCCAGATGACAGTTGGTCTTGAAAGCCATGGTAAAAAGTTTTTATTCTATTCTCAGTGCACTGCCAAAGCATTGGAACATTTTAATCCCGGGATCAATAAAATTTAATTAGCATTTGGGGTGTTTTTTTTAAAGATCACCCTGGCTACTGTGTATAAGAGAAATGAGTCAAATCAGATAATTGAGAGATAGAAGATAGGGAGGAAACAAGTTTAGGGAGAAATATTATTTCTGCTTTAACCATGTCGAGTTTGAGATGCCCCTAGCCATTCAACCTAGAAATAATGACTAGAGCTTATAATAGAGCCCAGAGATCAGGAAAGAGAGAGGGCCAGAAATACATTTGAATGGAAATCATCAGTATGGAGAGCTTTTAAAATGAGATTACCCTAGATCTCTAGAGAGAGAGAGGGCTTAAGGCACTTATCAGTTATATAAGACTTACAGGAACTTAGATGTCCTACTTAGAAAGAAAATAAACTATGTGAATAGCTGTTTCCTATAGTAGTCTGATTTCTCAACAGTATGAAAGATTCTTGTAGGGTGTTGAAAATAATTAAGAAGAAAGCAGGGGCATAGGAGAGAATTCTAAAGAAGCCCTGGAGAGTTAAAATTACTTTTAAGAAGCTGATAAATTACAGCATGCAAAAGAGTGAATAAAGAGAAACAAGAAGAAAAAAAATCACAAAACCATTGGCATTCCCCCATAACAAGCAGAAAATTCCCATGGAGTTGGTTATTGCCGTTTCTATAGTAGGCACCTGAGATTTTACAGTCTGCCAACTGCTGCCCACTTTTGCTGAATGACAAGAGAACGAACAATAGATAATACCTGAAAGAAACCCGGTATATGTCTCTGGTGACTTTGAAATTACACATAGAAAACGTGAAGGATTTGAGAGGATTCAGTAGTTTTAAGCCCTTCTGGATGTTTCAACTTGGGAAAAGAAAAGAGGATTTAGAAAGCAAATAGCTATTTATATAAATTATAGTCTTGAAATGGGATTTCATTTTTTGAATCATGGCTAACATTACTGGAATAATGGCCTTCTGGCAGTGGCTGGGGATACCATCTTGAAAGAAGGCTCAGTGTTTAATGCCCTAATCAAGACTCCCTGCAAAAGTGATTTGGGTATGCAGAAGTATGCGGAGGTACTTACAACCATTTCCAAAGATGAATGATAATTCTGTTGGATGTTCTTCAAAAGAGGGTTGGATGTTGAAATAATTTTGGAAATAACTACATAAGCTTCATTTTTCTTATATAGCTTATAAATGAAATCAGCATTTAAATTCTCAATATAAATTAACATTTATAAGCGCTGAGAAGTCCTCTACAAATGTTTTACTTCATTTAACCCACTACTTTCTAGATTTTTTTTTACCTCAGAAGCCCACTGTTTTATTTTGTTGTTGTTGTTGTTTTATCATGTAGCATATCTTAAATTTTCACATAGCTAGTGTTCCACAGAACACACTGTAAAACAAATGTAAACAAATGTAAAAGAATTTAGGTTAAAAATTGAAGGTACAGAAAATGGCTCAGATAATTAAAAGCAGATACTTTGAAGAATAGCATAAGTTGTGAAAACAGATGCATAATATTGCCTGGTAATTCACAATTAATAATCAAAGAAATGATCAAGAATAACCTCATTTGAATGGGAGTCAGTCTAGATGCACTATATGTTTTGCCCAGATGAAACAGACAGTAGAGAAAGAAAAGCCATAGCAATTCCATGCCTGAAAGGATCATATCCCCAGTACAACCATTTTACAGCCTAAGAAACTGAGGATCAGAGAAATTACATACCAATGTGGAAATCAAAAATTTGAAGGAGAAAGTGTTGTCCCAGAATGTCCTCCTTTTGAGACAATTGAGCACCGGAAGTTGTAAGCATGAGGATATACATCATAGATGGATGATGGATTGGTGGATGACAGATGATGTATATAATAAACATTTTATACTGTCTGTTTGCTTAAGAGTGTTCATAAACAATAGTCTGTAAGACCAGGTTAAATAAGGATAAAGTCACCAAGCTGGCACAACAGAAAAATAAACTCCTAATGGAGACAGACATCAACTGTACAGACATCAGCCAAAATCTTCTGCTGCTAAAACCTGAGCATGTGACAAAGTGTTGCCTTACCTTGCTGAAAATTTCATGGAAAATCAAAGAGAAAGGAAGTAAATTTGAGAAGTTAATTTTCACCAAAGAAATAATTGATTTATTCCATAAGAAAGCAGATTTCAAAGAAAACACAGGTGTGATCCTAGAGTCAGCGACCCCAAAAAGGACAGGCGGCCCACGAAGCCAAGATACCAAATATAAAATCGCAAATGATTCAGGTGAGGAATAAACTCAGACACTAGTGTAACTACATTTTATGTTCTGGATAAGTACAGACCTGCATAGACCTAAGCTATATGAGCAAGATTAAATAAAAATAAAGGTTATTTAAAGCTAAAAATAACATGTACTAGCTATATGTAAGAGTACTAAGTTTTTAAACACCCTTCCCCTTAATATTAATTTATAGGCAATAATTGAATTTTTCATTTTCATTTTTACTTATGCAAGGTTAAACATTTTAATGTGCTTATTGATCACTACTTGTATGTCTTCTTTTTTGAATATTGTATTCTAAGTTACTTGTATGTTTTTATATTGAATATTCCTTTTCTGCTTATTAATAAGAAACTGTTATTTATAAAGAATGCTATTCCATTGTAATATATAAAAGACAACTGCTTTTTGTTATTAATCCTTTAATTTTTATGGGATTACAGCTTCAAGCTGCTTTATAAATATCTTTTTCTGCCTTTGCTTATATTTCTTGGAAAGATAGTCCCTAAACTGAGATCAGAAAAATATCCATTTATATATTTTACTTTCCATTATTACTGTTACTATTATTTTGTTTTTTAAGAACTTTAATCAATCTGGAAGCTATCTGAGTACATGTATTGATCTCTAGACCTATTTTTTCTAAAAAAGTCAATTGTCTCAGCTACTGGAGGACATTTTTATTTGCTTTTATATTCATCAATGAGCTAAAAGAAATAGACCCAGCTTCCAGTGTTTAGCTTCAAGTTTTAAAAAGTATTCTTTAACCTATTTTCTCTAATTTTTAAAGTTATAAATGAACTGTAAAATTTTTTTGTCCAAAATGTTGAAGCTTTTACTTTTTGCACATATACAAAATACGTAATTTAATTTTCTATTTTATGCCATTCTGTTGTTGTTAGACTTGTTTCCCGAAACATCATTTCTTCCTAGACAGTAACAACTTTGACTTGGCTGTTCTAGTAAGAACTAAAATCTGCTGGTTCCTAGGTATCATAAAATTTGTTCAGGGCCCCTGCAGAAAACAGAATGAAACACTTTTTCCTTGGATTTTAATATACTAAGCAAAAAGGCTATTGCTTATAGTTGCCAACTCTAATTGTGCACGTTGGCTTTTATTAAACCCAACGTTCAAATCCAGAATCCATTAACAGAAGCACTTTTGTGCTTTTATAATGATACGATTCTTCTAATCCTATTTTCAAGGCCCATTGGTTCCATGGATACAAACTTTTCCTTCTTTATTATTGGATTTTATTTGTTTTCATAGCCAAATATTTTTCAACTGTGACTGTCAAATACATACCATTAGTTGACAATATTCCATAACCTAATTTATCCTCTTAAGTACATATCATTTTGTGAGACTTTCTATTCTTTTATTCAGTACATTTTATAAAGCAATGATTAAATTTTGAAAAATTAATAAGGAAGAATAAAGGAAGTGCAATTAATCCAAAGTTACATATTGGGTTCCTTCCTGGAAAAAAAATATTTTTGAGCTGAAATTTCTTATGTGGTTTCTGATGCTTGATTTGGAAAATGAACTTTTTAAGGGAAAGAATCTGGCAGATTTATTTCCTCATGACATAACCAGGAAAAATTGTTTTAATAGTTTAACAAAAAATAATTTGCTTTTCTTGGCTTAGAAAAATTTTAAATGATATTATTTCTAAAATTCACTTATTACCATAAAATTTATATTCCACTAGGATGAAACCCTGCATATTAAAATGAGGTTATTTATATGGAGTTAAAGCCATGTTTTATCTAGCTATCATTCTGCATTTTCTTTATTAATTCTTATCCTCAAATATATAATCCTAAAATATCATATTGTTGCAACCA